GGTACAGTGAGGATGGTGCCCTCTTGTGTTGTATTTCTGTCCAGCTCTCCCTCTGTCAATCACTCCCTGCTTCCCACACCTGTGATGCTTCGCAGGTGTTTTGTGGTTAGGTCTCGTCAGTGTCAGTATTTAAGTCTGTGTCTGTGTTGATTGTTGTCCTGGCATTGTTTCCTATGTTACTTGTGACTCCAGAAGCCTATGTAAGTTTGTTGCCACACCAGCCTTTTTGTATTTTTGAAATAAATAATTATTATTTTCACCACCTGAGTTCAGCATGCTGCCTGCACCATTGGGTTTGACCCAACTGAACATGACACAAAGTAGGAAAGATTTACGATGAACGTTAAATTTGTTTCACAAGGAATAGATGGACTTTGTAATGGAAATAATCTGTGGCAATGTTCTGCAGTTAAATGTTGGGCAGATGATGAAAGAAGACAAGAAATCTCTCTAGTAATTTTAGGTTTTTTGTGTTTGATCTATAGCTGTTCAGAATGAACGGGACTGCATCATCACTCCCAGAGCAAACGGACAAACAGCAAGAACTCTGTCCATCAGTGTGCTGCTGCAGGCTGAGGCCAGTGTGCAACAGGTAACACAAACCTATGACTGATAAATGATCCCATCTCTATTTTTGTGAAATCACTCGGGTGAAGGTCAAAGATGAAAAGATCTTGGGTTAAATCTCAAACAGACTCTCTGTGGGCTGGATTCAGTTTCTCCTAATTGAAGTTAAGAACAAAATTGCACAAAGATCTCGTCTAATCATGGCCCATTTGTTGCACCACTGCGTCTGGCATTGAGGTCTGTTGCCTTCAAGTACAAAATAACAACCAGATATGTGCTTTTACATATATAAGAAATTCACAAGGAGGAAAAAAAACATATTAGGTGTCTTTACAACTATTAGACATGCTTTAGAAGATTGTATGGTGTGTTACTGTGTACCAGTAGTTTGTTAAATGCTTTCCATATGTGTAAGAAAGTGCAATGTGCACTAAAATTATGAAGGAAAATATTTGTTTTGTCCTTTCCAGGCTCCTGTAGAAAATGGTGATTCACCAAAACAGGCTTAAAGGAGCAGGATTCTCATCATTATATTCTAGTACAAAGTAACAAGAGTACAACACTTCTTATGTCTGTGCTGTTCTGCAACGGTTAAATGTAATGTACTGATAACTGTGCCACTTTTAGAATGAGCAGCGTCTTCGTTTTACTCAGGACAGACATCGAGGGGGGGGGGTTCTATCTGCAAGCTCCTTCCTCCAACATCACACATATACTGGCCCCAGTGTATACGACAAATGCATTCAAAGATTAGAATTATTGTGAGAAAATTGAAAGACTTGTATTTATTTGTGATTTAAATAGGGATGGCCTTGAACATTTATTTAGTTAGTTTATAGCCTATATAAATTAGATTGTCATACCTGTCAGACAAAGAAACATATTTAATATTTATATTTATTTTGTTTGTTTGTTTTTTAGGGAAATTTACATTGTCTCCAGTTTCCTTCCACTGTGTGTGTGTGTGTGTGGGGGGGGGGGGGGGGAGATGGACACTGCACCTAAACTTGAGTATTATAACTGATCCACTTGACATTATGTCAATCAAACTCAAGATTTGACTTTAATATTTTGAGTTCAGCTAAAAATAAAAACTCAAACGACTAACAAATGCTATGTTATAGAGTTTAACAAATTACGTTAACAAGAAACCTACCAGTAATACTTTTATTAAGGCAAGAAACGAGATTGAATTTTAAACTGACCTTTAACTTGGAAAAGAAGTTCCAATTTTTAAAAAGAAGTTCTTTATCATGAAGGAGTCGTAAAACAATATCAAAAAATAAAACTGTGTCAGGGTTGCTTTTGATTTTTCACAGCTCCATGTCTATGGAGCATTGCTCTCGCCCTCAGTGCACGTACGCTCAGATATTTCAACCACGGTTCATTTCCACATTGCTCCATTAAATGAAACCACACTTTGCTTTGATGCTTTTAGTTCCCGGTGCTGCCCTCACCTCAGAGTCATGATATCAGCACCAAGAAGGCGGCCTGTGTGGGAGACGTGTTTGAGTCAATGAAGCAGCAACTCCTCCTGCTGGTGGAATGGGCCAAACACATCCCAGAGTTCTGCAGCCTTCAGATTGATGACAGGGTATGAAGAAAATCCAACACAACTCTGACGCCGCCTGACGCCACTCTTTACAGTATGAAGTATCAATGGATGAGGTTTTAGCTCAGATTCAATTAGTATTTAAATTAGTTTGTCTTGTGTAGCATTTTAAGTGACAATTTGGCACGTTGCCGTCGTAAATAACATGAAGCACGTGTGCGTCTGCTCGTAGGTGACCCTGCTGCGAACCCATTCTGCAGAGCATCTGATTCTAGGTGCAGCAAGACGCTCACTGCCTTACAATAATGTCATTCTTCTAGGTGGGACACGATAAACTGGTTCATTTTTCTCTGTCAGCATTTATTCAGGTGTCATTTTCCATCCTGAATTTGTGCCTATCTGTTCACTGGGCAGGCAATGACTTTGTGATCCCTCTGAGAGGGCCAGAGCTGGAGGTGTCTCGAGTGTCTCTTAGGATCCAAGAGGAGCTGGTGAAGCCTCTCAGGGAACTGGACATCACAAACAAGGAGTTTGCTTGCCTCAGAGCCATCGTTTTCTTTGCCCCAGGTCAATCCAGTCATTTTGTAAGGGGGGGTTGCGAGCTGTAATTTCTCTTTTGTATACGCTCTTATTTTCTGCAGCCTGGCCTCATAGGGTTTCTAAAATATTTCAGAACGATGCTAGGATGTGCTCAAGTTTGTTAGTCGTGAAAAGTTTGCAGCCTGCTGAGATAAATGGTTCAGTAATCTGAGGACCAAAGAAGAAGAACCGATCAGCCACGTTATCAAAGACAGCCTCGCTAAGCTTAAATACGTCCTTAGACTTTATTCACACGTATCTGGGCGTTCTCTCTGTTAAACCTAAACGCAAATTTGTATGAACATTTTTATTGTTTAGTATACAAAAATTATAAAAGACGTTACTCAGACTTGCATGTTAAATCAAGAACTTTAGCATCAATATGTCAATCAGCTAAAGAGCATTTTTATACATCTACATATTTATCACCTTAAACAAGAATCTGTTTGCTGCCAAATTAAATGTAGCGCTCGTACCAAGTGGCTAAAGAGTTAACCAGTAGGTTAGATTGAAATGTAGCGTTGGTCAGGGCCATGAGAACGTTACTTTAACGGAGGTGCCTCCACTAAGCAGGAAATTATGAATTTACACCTTGTTTAACTAAGAATTTAATTCTGATAACTGTTTATATTAAATACTCTCCCTTGAAATACAAAAAAAAAAAAAAAAAAAACTTAAAGTAACTGTCAAATAAGACCTGATTTAAATTTAAGACACCTTCAGTAAGAAAAAAAGTAAATAGAATAACTAATTTGTTGCACAAATTAAAAAAAATAAAACTTTTCTCAGTACTTTCAATTCTATCGACTTAACCCAAATATTTGCAGTCCAAATTACCTCTTAATATTTCAGGTGAGGTTTTTCAAACATAAAATCCAACCCCAAATTAACCCGTTGCAGGCCTGAATCAATGCTTTGGTGTATGTGAGCTAAACACAAACAGCTCGTACGCTCACTGAGCAAATAAAATAAAAAGCACGTGCATTGGTTTAATGTTGTACTCACAGATCCTTCAGAGTTTGAGATTGGATCGGGACAGGTAGATGTGGAGATCCCTATAATATGGCACTGAATGAAGTATAGGCTGGTGATGTCACACAAACAGAGGTCCTTCCTGGCAGCAGCCTCAGTGGTGGAAAGAGTAGGTTGTATTTCTTCCATGTGGCACCATGTGCAACACTCAAACTAACTTTTATGTTGCATTCAAGGAACATAGTAAAATTGATAACTGCCTGTTTCAATCTGCTTAAACTAGATTTTCTTGACCAAATACGAACTGTTTTTAAAATGATACATTTCTAAGTGACAAAAGAGATTTATCTCTCATATTTATTCCAATTTTATCATTTAGACATTGTTTTTAAAACTTAAATATTACTTTGAACTTAGTTTAATACTTAATTTGTGCTTTATAACACAGTTCAATGGGCTACATCAACATCTAGATACTGATGGGAAGGATGAAGGATTTAATTTAGCGAATTTAAAAAAAAACTACAGTTCTTAGATCAGTACACTCATTCTTGAAAGATGGCATAAATTACTATGAATTATACTGTCAAAACTATCTTCCATTATATTAAAAAAGTGTTGTTTTTTTTCATAATACAAGTAAACGAGTTTAGTTTTACTACGTTAGTACAATTTTTTTGCACTTATAAACATTGTTTTTTTCCCCACTTGTTTTGAACGATGGCAATGTTCATGAACTAAGTCCTGCTGAATATTTATTATTTACCGATCATCTTGCCTGACAAATCATATCTACATAGTTTTTATGCTTGTATGCGTTAGTGTACAGCACTTTGGCCAACAGTGTTGTTTTAAAGTGCTTTATAAATAAAGTTATATTGTATTGTATTGTATTGTATAGTAAATGTTTGTTTATTAGTTTTATTAACATTTATTTTAAGTGTACTCTTTTTGCACATAATCACAGACATCTTTATCTTTGTCCAGCAGACTGTCCGGGGCTCCAGAACCCTCAGGTGGTTCGACATTTGCGTCTCCAGGCCCACGTTCTGCTCGAAGAGTCAACCTGTGAGCAGCGAGGGAGGTTTGGGGAACTTCTCCTCATCCTCCCTCCCCTGCAGAGTATTGCCTGGCAGATGGTGGAGACGCTCCACTTGGCGCAGCTGCTGGGTGAAGCCAGGATGGACAGCCTTCTGCAGGAGATGCTGTTGGGGGAGGAAACCAAAACAGAACCATGCACAGGTAGGAAACACTGCAATAACGTTTAGCTGCAGGAAATTCACAAGAGGGTGACACGGTGGATCAGCTGGTAGAGCTGCCACATCTCAGCAAGCAGGTCACCGGTTCAAATCCTGGCCAGGGGCCTTTCTCGGTGGAGTTTGCATGTTCTCTCCGTGCATATGTGAGTTTCCTTCGGGTGCTCCGGTTTCCTCCCACAGGCCAAAAACATGCATGTTAGGCTGATTGGTAACTCTAAACTGTACCGAGGTGAGACAGAGAGTGAATGGTTGTTTGTCTCTGTCCCTGTGATGGACTGGAGACCTGTCCAGGGTGTCCCCGCCTCTTGCGCAGTGATGGCTGGATATGGATATGGATGGATGGATGGATGGATGGATGGATGGATGGATAGAAATTCACAAGATGAAACTCAAGCTTGACTTCTAGCAGACTATAAATAGACCATTTTTCATATTTTTTGCCATGTCATTAAATAAGATAGATGTGCTTCTCTTTGGGAAAGTTTGGTTTCTCTGCTCTTCTCCCTCGTGCTTTTTTTATATATTTTTTTTATTTTAGACGACGACCTTACTCAAGACTATGAAAATAAGTAAAGAGCTTCTCCTCCTAACGTCAGCTCTGTACTCAACCCCATTTCAACATGTGAGCAAGTAAATTTCACGAGTCAGTGAGAGCCATTCTGAACCTGCATCTACTTCATCATATTTCAAAGCTGAAATTTGTTTCCACGAAGAGTAAACCTTCAAATGTCTCGAGCCAAGACTGAAACGTGTCTGTCTCACACAGCTCTTCAAAACGACCGTCCTCCTGCCCACACAGACTGGCACTGAGGTGCACAAACAAGAAGAAGCTGCCAGTGTGCCCACCACATGCCTGGTGCTCTACGTTCCTAACAAATACCTCAAGAAGGAACAAGTCAACCAAAGAGTAACTCACGAGCTTCGGACAACAGGTCGACAAATATTAACGCAGTCATATATGAAAACTAATACAGATTCAAGTATGAATCCATCGATCCATCCATTTTCTTTACCCGCTTTTCCATTCAGGTTCTACAGAGAAATATGTATAAATACACATAAAGTTTGCTGCATATGTGATTTTTCTTTATGTTTCAGATAAACGTGATTTTTTTTATGTCATTCCATGCAGAAGCAGAAATCTATCACTCAAACATTTGCAAACTCATGTATTAAACTTATTTGAAACACATCTGATATTAACTGGTGTGTGAAGTGTAAAAATCATGGTTAGCCAGAAGAGGTCACTAAAGGTTGTTCTCATTTTCGTTTTCTTTTTCAAGCCTCTGTTTTGTCCCCAAACAATCTTTTGGGTTTTTACCTGCATTTTCTTTCTGGGTTGCTGTGGAACTGGTACGGATATATCTGCAGCTGGCATGAATGAATCCTTGGAAGAAAAATGAATGTATTGCTCTCTTTAATGAAATGGGAGACTTTATTTGCGCAGAAGTGAGAGCAATTCTTCTGTTTAAATATCAATTAAAAAAAGTATATGTATATGACTTTGTCAAAAAGTCTAATGTAAATTTTTCTGACAGCATTAACTTTATCATCAAAATCACAAAATACATTTTGTGTAACTTTTAACCTTTTTAGTTTAAGATCAAACGAAGATTATTCAAGTTTGTGCTAGGGCTGGACAATAATTCAATATCCATACCATACCATACCAATTTATTTATAGAGCACTTAAAACAGCAACAAGGCCAACCAAAGTGCTGTACAAAAGAAAACAAACATGCACAGCGGACAGGAAAACATAAAATAGAAATACAGATACAAATAGCAGCAGAAGCTAACTAAAATGGCCAACAGAGTAGAGTACAGACAGGACCAAACAAATCACAACGTGTTAAAGGCAAGCGAATAGAAGTGGGTCTTCAAGCGAGACTTAAAGACTGAGAGTGTGGGAACCTGCCGGACACTCAGTGGCAACTCATTCCACAGTCGTGGACCTGCAACAGAGAAAGCCCTGTCACCTCTGAGCTTACGACGGGTTTCTGGGACTGAGAGAAGCATCAGGTCTGCTGACCTCAGAGAGCGCGGTGGGACATATGGCTGCAGAAGATCAGTGAGATAGGATGGGGCGGAACTGTTCAGTGATTAAAAAACATACATGAGAATTTTGAATTGGATCCGAAGGTGAATGGGTAGCCAGTGCAGGGAGGCCAAAACTGGCGTGATGTGCTCTCTATAGCCTGTACCAGTTAAAAATCGGGCTGCAGCATTTTGGACCAGTTGTAGACGAGCAATGGAGGACTGACTGATTCCAAACAGAAGTGAGTTGCAGTAATCAAGCCTAGATGTTATGAAGGCGTGGATCACTGTCTCAAGGTTCTTTTTGGAGTGTATAGGTTTCAGCTTAGACAGCCGTCTCAGCTGAAAAAAACAGGATTTGACCATCATGTTTGCGTGACTGTTGAGTTTTAAGGATGGGTCCATTATCACCCCCAGATTAGTGACCTTTTGTTTCTCTAGCGGGGCTAGAGAGAAAAGGTCAATGTCATGGTTCATGAGTGAGCCACTGGGATGGAAAAGCATGACTTCAGACTTCTTCTCATTGAAGCTTAAGAAGTTTAAAGCCATCCAGTCCCGGATGTCAGCCAGGCAGTCAAGAAGAGGCTGAATAGAGCGTGTGCCTCTGTGCCTCAGGGGGAAGTAAATTTGGCAATCATCGGCGTAGAAATGAAAGGGTATGTTGTGTTTGCGGAAAATAGCACCTAGTGGCAGCAGGTATAAAGAAAAGAGAAGGGGACCGAGGATGGACCCCTGCGGAACCCCCCACTGGAGCGCTGTCGATGCCGAACTAAAATCTTTGATATTGACACAGAAGGTTCTGTCAGAGAGGTAGGACCCAAACCATTTAAGGGCTGACCCTGTGATGCCCACCCACTGCTCCAGTCTAGAAATGAGGATCTTGTGGTGGATGGTGTCAAAAGCAAATGTCAGGTCCAATAGGACAAGCAGCACAGAATCACCTGCGTCTGTGGATATGAAAATATATCGCAATATAATTTTATTCAAAAACGGTGATATGAGTTTTAAGCACAGTGTCGATATTTCGATATACATTACGCCGTGATTACAACGTTTCACTGATGCTTTTCTTTCTGTTCGGGTTCCGAACAGAAAAAGCCCCAACACAACTACGTAAGTGCGTGGTGACGTACACCACAGCTCGAAGGAGTCCGCAGTAGCAGGCTAAGCTAAGCTCCAACGCGCGTTAAGTTTTCTCTTCAAAATGAGTGCGAATGACCGTCAGAATGTGACTGAACAAGTGAAGAGAAAGCAGATGACGTAATCGATAAGAGAGGAAACACTAATTCGGCGGTGTGGAAGTGGTTCGGCTATCCAAGTGTGCTGCAAAATGTGCCGGAGAGTCGTTCCAACTAGCGGTGGGAACACATCTAACTTGTACCATCTGAAGAGTTTCCACTCGATAGAATATGCTGAGAGTCAGAAGATGAAGCGCGATAAAGTCTGAGCCAACGTGTCCCTGAAGCAAAACCCCCCCAGCTGTATCAAAAGAGAGGCCCATGCAAACGCAGACGTTTGCTGCATGGCCGTTTAAAGTTAAAACGATTAATAGTGACAAAGTTGAGAGTTTTACGTTTCTTTGACGGTGATTTCAAATTTCTTTGAAGGATAAATACAAATAAAAGGTTAATTTATTCGTACAGTTTTTCTGAGGCTTTTATATTGTTTATATCGAAATCGAAATTATATCGTTATCGACCAAAATTAATATCGCAATAAAAGTTTTGGTCAAATCGTCCAGACGTTCATGCTCATATTTGAACTTTGACATTTTGACCATGACTTCCTCAGACGAGTCACCGGGGGAGAGGGTGGACTCCAGAAACCATCTGAGCACCATCAAACTGGTTGACCCGCTATCTGAAGGTGCTAATAAGACTGAGTTTGTTGTGGATCCTCGGACTGAAGAAGTCTTTTGGATGAAAGACAAAACGTTTCAACAACAAAGAAACCATCCAGAGGACCTGACTTAACTTTGTTGGATCAAACAAAGCTGTTTTTATTCCATTAAAACACCTACCTATTTTCTTTGAAGAAAAAATCTTACGCTTACTTTTATCTCGAGAATGTTTGAGTAGGCTCATGATTTAAATTATTCTATAACTTGTTCTGGAGCAGGTTAGAGTTTCCAAAGATGATTTTGTTCTCTGTCGGTATAAATGTTCCGAGTTTGAGACTAGCCCAGATCTGGATGGCAATCTTGTCCACAGTTTCAGTAAAAGTTCACAAAACTCAACTCTCGTTCTTTGGGCTTAAAATGATTCGTCGTGTTGCACAGCTGAGCCTAAACTGACCGCTGCTGCACCGACCCGCATGGTTAGTTTGGCCAAGTTCTGGGAAAAAGAGTTCACACAGAGAGGGCTGAGGTGGGACAGCTGGAACAGCTGTGTTTACTGAGACAAGGCAGATATGTGTGGAGTGTTGTTTTTTCTTCTTTTAGTAAATTTAAAGAATTTGGGTCAGAATCAACTTGAATGAGTTGTACAGCCGAAGAAGGGCAGTTTACTCATGCATAAGAACACAATCATGCACATGCAGAAACTTTGGGGGTCGTGTTAAAACTACAGCATGTGGAAGTCACTAGGCATCAAACCTTAACGCGTTTGTAGCTTCCGTGTTGCAGCGAAGCTCTGCGAGTACCTGCACACAGAGAGATTCTGTAAGATTCCACTGGCAATAAACCACAACGCAACCACTCAGTCTGAGTTTTTCCACTGTAGACAGGCGGAACGAAACGCACAACAAATGAAGCAATTAACTGAGGCTCCGACTGAATCATTCGCAAGATGTGTTTTATGGTGCAGAATGTTTTCCAAAATGTGCATTAGCTTCCACAGATCGTGTAAATTTATATCCTGGTTTAGATCGGGCTCCCAGTCTGGTCATCGACAGTGAGTTTCCTGAACGGCAGATACGACGGGCTTGTTGAGAAAACAAATGGAAAACAGGCTGAAGTCAAATCATTGCTGCACTAACATAATCTTTCTGTTAACCTTTTGCTGCCTTATGCAAATTTATGACACACGCTGGACCTTTAGCTGGACCAGGCTCTTCTGACGACTGCGTCACAAACAGACCTGATGTGCACAACTCCATCTGTCTGCTCATTCACTTTCACCACCTATTGATGCCAATAGTGGACGGTTACAGTGATTTTTGGACATTCATCAATAAAAAGAAAAGAAAAGCCAGGCTCTGTGCAGCTCCCTTCACGCCTCTTCATTCCTAACTGATCTCTGTTTTTAAAACTTGGACCAACACCTGGCCAAAACTAGGAAGCAGCAAAAGTCCATACCTTCCAAACACACTGAATAAATCTTACAAAAGGTGACACTTTCCACATAACAAGTTATCCAACATGTTCTAAACTCACTTTATTATGATTATATTGTAAGATTTAACTACTATTTCAGAGCAGACTGGGGAAAAGCTGTCTGCTCAACATGCATCTGCAGAGTTTGTTTGACTCTTTGTCTCCACTGTCGAATAAAACTTTCCACAAAGCTGAACCTTCACCAATTAGACATTTTTTCCACGAGGGCTTAAATACTATAGGAAAAATCCAGGAGCTTCAAGCATCAGC